GCTTATACATGTTAAGCCTTTACAATTTCAGAATGTTTGCATATTGAATGCCTTCTGGGCATTTGAATTAAACACTTAAAGTAATTTAAATGTTACCATGTCTGCGGTTTGAATGCAAACCAAATATATTAGCCTTCTGCATGACTAAGTTCATGAGATCCTTTGTTAGGATAGGGATTCCAGTTTAGAAAGTCTATAGCAGTGCATAAAAATGACAAAATGGATGGAGAGAATAAATGGCTGTTATTGGCTGAGGATACAGTGTAACATTTATTTCTTCTATTACTCTTAGTGTTAATTGCCAGATCCATCTATAATAGGTTTTGGGGCATTGTTCCTCATAAGATTCTTAAAATTCCATTCATATTCCAGTATTCCATGTGTTCGCTTCCCCCTGCAACTCGGCTGCACCATTATTAATGTGAGAGTCTGAGGGAATTATGGAGTGTAGCGGATGGCATTGGGCTGTCCTCAAAATTATGTGTATTCATATGCTTTCGGTTAATTTTTGCCATATGTATATAAGTTGTATGCAGCATTCGTCTGATTGTTCGGTAAAATCACTCCAATTATTATGCGAGTGAAACTACCGAACAATCAGACCACCCAAGGAATAAGTGTGCCTACAATTACCGTTCGCAACAATGTTGCAAACGGGTAATTGGCAATCAGTGCAGTGTGTGCTTTGTCCTCTGTGTGTCCGCCATTCAGGAGACGAACACGTGGTGGCGGCCATCTTAAACTCCCGAACAGCTGTGTTTTGCCGTCGAGTGTCTGGAACCCAAATCGGACACTCGGTTAGGCAAACACCTCCACACTGCCATCCCTTCGTGTAGAAACTACCGAACGGCTCAAGGATCGGTAGAAAGAACCCCACGAACAAGGGGGTTTATCCGAATCCTCTCCAGTCTCCATAACCCAAGCCATTCGTGCATTTTGTTCCCTTTTTCTGTGACCGACTGCAGGGCCAAAATGTATGGAACCCATTTCAGCTGTTAACTCCAGCGCGGCCGGGCTTTTTACTACCTCCAGGAATTTTCCGAACCCCTTGTCTGATCTGGGTGATTTTTTAATATGTCTCTCAACTTGATCAGGGCTACCAGGAGATGTAATATTTAAAGGGGTACCCCTATGTTTAGGGGTACATCCAAAAAACCAGGGGAACTGTGTCCTGCATAATGGGATTATGAGTCATACTAAGGGGAGGGGCTGTGTGGGTGGCAACTCATGTATGATTGGTGTACTGTATAATTACTGCAAATCCCTCCCTTGCATGGGATAAAGCTTTAAAAGAAGGTTGAGTGATTAAAAGTTCATTTCTACTCCTGTTACTGTGTGTCGTCATTGGGATCTGTGTGGGGATATTCGTGGATTACCTTGCTTGCTGTGAATATTGTTCTATGGGATTTTATTAGTTGTTCCTGAGCCTCACTGGGATCTTTAGTGGAGTTAACCTGTGAAAGACCAGCTCTCCGCTACATGGAGGGATGAGCTTCGTGCTGGTGCAGCCGCATTGAGGATGGGGCGGCCGGAGGGAGCACTGCAGGGAGGGAGCTTTCTGGCACTCAAGCTCTGCCCCCGGTCGCAAGCTACACCCCCAACTGCAAGCTCCCCCCACGGTCGCAAGCTGGTGACCTCAGGGCAGGAAGAGGCCAGAGAATGGAGTCCTCACCTCCCAGGGCTTCCACAGCAGCAGCCTTCAGTGCCAGGTAGGCTTCAAATACACTGCAGCTAGTGCGTGAGAGTGATCTTTTGTGTGTGTATGTGTGTGTACCTGCTGTTGTGAGCATGTGTGTTTTAGTTAGCTTGTCTGCAGTAAGCACATATGTGTGTGTCAGTGAGCATGTCTGTAGTGAGCATGTATGTGTGTCAGTGAGCATGTCTGTAGTAAGCATGTATGTATGTCAGTGAGCACCTCTGTAGTAAGCATGTATGTGTGTCAGTGAGCACCTCTGTAGTGAGCTTGTATGTGTGTGTCAGTGAGCACGTCTGTAGTAAGCATGTATGTGTGTCAGTGAGCATGTCTGTTGTGAGCATGTATGTGTGTGTCAGTGAGCATGTCTGTAATAAGCATATATATGTGTGTCAGTGAGCGTGTCTGTAGTAAGCATGTATGTGTGTGTCAGTGAGCATGTCTGTAGTAAGCATGTATGTGTGTGTCAGTGAGCGTGTCTGTAGTAAGCATGTATGTGTGTGTCAGTGAGCATGTCTGTAGTAAGCATGTTTATGTCAGTGAGCTTCTAATAAGCATGTGTGTGTCACAGAGCTTGTCTGTAGAAAGCATGTGTGTCAGTAAGCTTGTCTGTAGTAAGCATCTCTGTGTATACCTGTGAGTTTGTCTGTAGTAAGCTTGTGTGTGTGTGTGTGTGTGTGTGTGTGTGTCAGAGAGTTTGTCTGTACTAAGTTTGTGTGTACCTGTAAGCTTGTCTGTGTTTCTCAATGATCTTGTGTGTTAATGAGATTGCATGTCTGTGAGCCTGTGTACCAGTGAACATGTATGCTTGTGTCAATGAGATTGTCTTTGCCTGCATGTGAGTATGCTTATTTTTACTAATATTTATAATTAAAAAAGGAACATACCAATAATAAAAGTATATATTTATATATCCTTTAGTGAGAATGTGAAATATCTCTTTATAACATAATATATGTTATATGTATGTTATGTATTAAAATATGGCTACGTCTTGCTAATTTTTTAATTTTAAGGAACAGGATATACCATTCATTTGACCACCAGCCAAACAAATATACATACTTATCTTTCACTATATTAATGTCCCTGTAGATTCAATCTTTAAAATCCAGGTGTATTAACCTGGTGTTTCCAGATAATGTTAGACTAGAACACCAAAAATCATATGGCTGGCAGGCAGAAGTGTAGTTAGACACCACGGGGCCCGGTGCAAAAATTGCCCTGGGGCCCCCAATATGGACGGGCAAGCAGGGCCGGACTGGCCCACCGGGATACCGGGAAATTTCCCGGTGGGCCGCGGCACCTGGGGGCCGGCCGCATTCCTGGCTGGAGCCGCCGGGCCGGGTGGCAGCTTCCCCGGTCCGGCAGCCACAGCAGTGACAGGAGCAGTCTGGGCGGGCGGCCAGCGCGCGAGGGAGCACTCAGTGCTTCCTCTTCAGCTCCCTCGCGCACCGCACTGATGCCGGAGCCGGAAGATGACGTCATCTTCCGGCTCCGGCATCCCTATGCGGCGCGCGAGGGAGCTGAAGAGGAAGCGCTCCGGGGAGAGTG